CCCTACAATTTATGCCCTTTGCCGTCCCTGAAAGTGGGTAAACCCCGCTGGTATGAAATGAACATCTTTTAAAAAAACAACTCCGTTTCTTAGGCTCCAAGTCTATATGATTGAAGGACACAGAATTGTGCAAACATGTTACTAAAGGCTTGATCCTGTGTAATTGTAGGCCCCTCTTCCCTGGAGCTAATCTGTATTGTGAGTTTACCAAGTTCCAGGCATTGTGCTGATTTTCAGGCTTTATCTCATTTGATCTACTCCCAAACTCCAGAATGATCTTCAAAACAGAAGTTAGATGATGACATTTCTCAGCACAAAACTCTCTGGTGGCTTTCTGTCTCATTCAGAGGAAAAGTAAAGTCCCTACTGTCAGCTGTCGTGAAGCCCCGTGAGCTCTCTGATCACGTTTTCTGGAGAGCCATCTTTCAGTTCTGCACTCTAGCTAGCCTTGCTGTTCCTTTCACTTGTCAACCAACTCCCCTCTTTTCCTAATGCTTGTCTTTTTAACTCTCAAATGTCACCTCAGTGAGAAGATGGCTGCCCAATGTACATTGTACCCCATCTCCACCCTGTGTCCCATGTGCTGCTCGCATTCTCTTCACTGCAGCCTGCTACATTCCACCTGCTACGTATTTGCTTATCGTCCCCACCAACTAGACAGTAGCTGGAGGAGGACAGGACTTCTGTTCATCTTAAATCCCTGGGGACTACAAAAAGGGTGTTTGCAATCAAACATTTTTTAGTAAATAAATGCATTAAAGAATTCTCCTTATCTCCATTTTACAGTTGAGAAGCGGGTTTAGGGAGGTTAACTAACTAGGGTCTTAGAGCCAGTAAGTATAAATAGTACTATGGGCTCATCAGCTGCTATTCCCAAGTTCAAAATGCCTTTTTGGGAAATATTTTTGCCATGTTCATTCAATTGGGTGTGATTTGACTAAAGTGGGAAGCTGAGATGGAAGAAGATGAACAACAAATCACCGGGGAGGCTGGATCTGGAACCTGCCATGCACACTCACATTCCTCCAACTCACTTGCCTTGTGGGTACTGCTCTCCTCACTCCTGACATTGAACAAATTAAATCTTTCATTAAATATATACCATAGCATTAAAGTGCAGGACAGATAACATAAATTTTTCATCATTTTGAGGAACAGTGTGATGCTGCTTATTTATAAGTATCTTGGCACCATTTACTAGATGGAATGTTTTTCAAAGGGAAAAGATTGTATGAGACAAATCAACCTTAGACACACTAGTCTGTAAACTCCTAGAGGGTATATACTGTGCTATATTCTCCCTGATTAGCAGCAAGAATGACCTATAGTATGCATTTGATAAATGTTTATTGAATGAATAAATATGTTTGGAGATGAAATTTTTGTTTCGTCTGTAAGAGCAGATTTAGACAGTGGCATCTTTTCTGGGCCAGCCAATGACACACAGTCACATGAAAAGAGTACCAGGGGAGGGTCGGATACATTTGAAAGAAAGTCACAATCCCAATGGAAAGTTTTACAAGTGAAATATATAACTAGTTGCATGGAGTATCCTCAGTTATGAGAGAGAAACCTGGGCGGAATCTGCCACTTGAGTGCTGGGAGGGAATGTGTGTTGTTGGAATGTGTCCTCCAAACAGCCAGTGAGGAGGTGGGTTGCTTTCTAGCCATTAAAACATCCCAGCGGCTGGGCACGGTGGCTCACACCTGCAAACCTAATACAATGGGAGGCCGAGGGGGAGAGATCACTTGAGGTCAGGAATTTGAGACCAAGCCTGGCCAACATGGTGAAACCTAACTGTACTAAAAGTACAAAAATTAGCCAGGTGTGGTGGTGGGTACCTGTAATCCCGGCTACTCAGGAGACTGAGGCAAGAGAATCACCTGAACCCGGGAGGCGGAGGTTGTAGTGGGCTGAGACACGTCATTGCACTCCAGCCTATGCAAAAGAACGAGACCCTGTCTCGTTCAAAAAAATCAAAAACCAAACAACAAACAAAAAGAAAAAATAAAAAAAACTAAATTAAAACCATCCCAGAGGGAAAGACAAATGGCCGTGATTTACAAACCGGAAAGTTGAATTGGTGAAGCCATACATAAGCAGTCTAAAAAAATCCCGGCGGAGACTTTTCCTCTGCATAATCCCTTCTTCCTTCCTCATGCAGGCCTCAGAGCTCCGCCACATTTCCCTTCAGGGGAGAAGAATGAAGCCCCATTTAGGAACAAAATTTTCACTGTAGCCCTGCTTCCTTGGGTTTGTCCAGGTGTCTGGGATATCAGGAAGTGCCTCTAGGTCTTCAGCACTTTTGGTTTGAGAAACAATATAATTGCTGAAGGCAAGCCTTCAAAGTGGACAGCCATCCAGATGACACTCTAGATTCCTCCAGCTGACACAGCAACACAGGGAACCTTGAGTGAGCACAGGATGTCGTGACTAGCTTCCAATGAACACAATATGGCAAAAGTGATGGGATGTTATTTCAATGATTAGGTCATAAAAGACTATAACTTTCACCTTGCTAGCAGGCTCTCTTTCTTACTGGCTTTCATGGAGCAAGCTGCCAGTTTGGGAAGCCCAGGTGGCAAGAAACTGAGGGTGTCCATCAGCCAACTGCCAGCAGGGAACTGGGACCCTCAGTCCAAAAGCCCATGAAAAAACTGAATCCAGCCAACAATCACTAAGTAAAGTGGGAAACACCACGCCCCAGTTGAACCTTGAGAAGACCTGACCAGTATTTTGGTTGCATCCGTGGGAGAGGCCCTGAGCTGCAAGGTCTAGCCAAGCTATACTCAGATTACACAGAAACTGTCACGTAATAAATATGTATTTTTTTTAGATGGAGTTTCACTCTTGTTACTCAGGCTGGAGTGCAATGGCACAATCTTGGCTTACCGCAACCTCCACCTCCTGGGTTCAAGCAATTCAATTCTCCTGCCTCAGCCTCCCGAGTAGCTGGGACTACAGGCCCGTGCCACCATGCCCAGCCAATATTTTTGTATTTTTAGTAGAGACCGGGTTTCACCATGTTGACCAGGATGGTCTCAATCTCTTGACCTCGTGATCCACCCACCTTGGCCTCCCAAAGTGCTGGGATTATAGGCATAAGCCACCGCACCCGGCCTAATAAATATGTATTGTTTTAAGCTGCCAACTTTTGGTGGGGGGGGCAATTTGTTACACAGCAATAGATAATACAATCTATTAAAAATGTAATGAAAACTCAGTGAGACACACACGCAAAGATTCATGTTAAAAGTATCCAAAGCTTGGAGTCATAGGATACTTAGAGTAGGTACTCGCTGGAGGAGAAGTATGGGATCTTACTTCACAATGCAAAGCTGTTCATGCTCTTCCAACCTCCACCCCCACTATAGCTGCCCATTTATCCACTGGATAAAGCACAAGTTCCTTAGTCTAGCAACAAGGTCTGACATCATGTGGCCTCTGCCTATTTCTCCAATTTTATCTCCTACTTTCCTATCACTTACACTTCATCTTTAAGTCATACCATCCTACATGTACCTGCCCCAAATGCTCTATACTTTTCCCTTTGTCCATACTGCTCCCTCTGCCTAGAATACCTTCCTGTACAGGTTCAGTTGCATGTATCCTCGGTGCTCAGTAGACTCCATTTAAATCCCTACATTGCCGCCTCAACTCTCTTTTACCACCTGTCCATGTGTCCCATATAACCTTTGGTTTCTTTGCTGAATATCCCTCTAGTTTTAAGCTCCGCATTGAGCCTCTTCTTCAACTTGGGATCCTCAGAGCTAGTTCACAGTCTGGCAAATCACTTCAGTCAACAACTTATGAAAGAATAAACATGGGATGGACCTGCCAGAAGTAGACACAATTACTTATTGGCTTAACTGTAATTTATACCATGCTATTGAAATCATAGGCAGTGTACAATGAAAGGACCTACGTTCAGAAGGTTAGCAGCACACACAATTAAAAGCCACACAGAAGGATGAAAAAGCAAATCTGCGAAACAGTAGGCATATTTGTCACAATGGAGGATTGCATTTCATCCTAAGTCTGCCATCAGACAAGCAAGAACCTTGCAATTGGCTTCCTCTTCAAAATTCCTCCATTAAGACAAAAGAAAGTCTTCCACACAGTTTTTCAAAATTATTCAGGTTTCCATCCTATATATCAGCTTTACTCACCTTCCTGGTGTATCAAATCAATTCAAAGAGAAAGAGGAGAGAATTTTAAAATGAATTATCTTATTGTTATGCCCTTCAAGAAATCTGCCTTCCTCCCCATTTGTTACCAACTGAAATTGACAAACTGACCCAGAGTTAAATCAACTTAGGGATCACTCAAGAGCAAAACCAACCACCTTTTTCATAAAGAAACGTTCAGAGAAGAAGGTAGCAATTACACTTTATCAGTGAAAATGTCTTTCTTACGAAGTATATTCATTAAGTGGAAAGTTTGATGATCCTTTTACTTTAAATCAGAGGTAACTTAGCATGGATGCCCTTCATTTTAAGAAAGAGAAAATATTTGATGATTTGATGATTAATCAAAAATTTGTTTCTATGAAAAGGCTGTTTTGAGGGATTTCAATGAGAAATTCATAATCAGCCTCAGAAAATAAATGCCTTATATCCCACGAAACTGGGATGACTTAAAAAGTTCTATTCCTGCTCAGTCAACTTACTGAAAATTACCATCATCTTTCACCTACAGAAAGGAATATATCCAGAACCTAAGCTAAAATCTGTTTCTTTAGGTCATAAATCAACTCTGCAATCAGGACTGTGGAGAGTCCTTGCAGAGTAGATGACTTTGAGTTTGATAAATTGGTTAGGTGTGGGGACATGATCAATAGTTCGATGATTTGACTAAAATGTGCTGAAAAATAACCTGTAGGGAGGATTTGGATAACTCTGCACAAACATTCTTGAACCTGAAAATCCAAACTGTAAGTTATATTGAGACTAACAAAGTTAATATATGTCACCAAAGGAGAAGGCTATATCATCTCTAGGAAATAATTTTTGACCATGGTTAGTAAGTACGTAGGAAATGATGCATTCATTGAAATGTAAAACTGGCAGTAGGCTTACGATGGCAATGGGCAGTGCCAGCAGTGGCTGTGGCATCCCGGAGCAGGAGGATGTGGTGTGGTTCTGGTGTGGCACAGGCCAGAATGATGATTCTGACATTTGGGACGCTACAGCATGGCTAAAAGCGGATGATAAAGCTGTGGCTTCATTTAACCATGCTCTAAAGAATGGTGACATTTGTGAAACTTCAGATAAACCCAAAAGCATGCCTAATAGAAAACCTTCTAAGAAGAATAAAAGCCAAAAAAAGAATACTGCAACTTTCTTGAAGTAGTGAAAAGCTGCGGACAAATGTTCTGCCGTTTGGTCAGAAGACCGTGGTATTTACCCAGCTACCATTGCTTCTGTTGATCTGAAGAGAGGAAGCTGTGTTGTGGTTTACACTGGATGTGGAAATAGGAGCAAATCTGTCTGATCTAGTTTATTTGACCTCTGTAGCTAATATGGGACAGAATGCTCAAGAGAATAAAAACGAAAGTCAAGATTCAGTGGAGGAAAGTGAGAACTCCAGATCCTGGAAACAAATCACGTAGTATCAGGTCAAAAGCTACTCCATGGAATTCTTTTCTCCCTCCACCAAACCCCATCAGGACTGGGACCAGGAAACCCAGGTCAGATCTAAAATTCAATAGCCCACCACCCACACCACCCTACGTCCTATCATGCCGGCTGCCTCCATTTCCTTCTGGACCACAAATAATCCCCCCACCACCTCTCACATGTCTAGATTTTTTTGATGATGATAATGCTTTAGGAAGTATGTTAATCTCTTGGTACATGAGTGGCTATCATGCTGGCTACTATACAGGGTTTGGAAAATCAAAAAGAAGGAAGGTGCTCACATTCTGATTAATGAGTAAATGTGCCATTATTATGAAAGTGAATCTTACTTTTGCAAAATTTTATGGTTTGTGGAAAACAAATGTTTTTGAATATTTTAAAAACTAAAATGTTAAAAAGTTAAAAGTTTAACTAAAATGTTAAAAAGTTAAAAGTATTAAAGACATTTTGATGCCAAAACTATTAGATAAAAGGTTGAGCTACATCCCTACTAGAATTCTCATGGTATCAAAGTATCACCTCATCAAAAACTTTTTGGTTGGTTGTGTGGAAAAACTATACTTTTACAATAAATTGTTCCTTAGGCTCTGTTGACATTTTACATCACTATTAGTCAGAAAACCAGACATGTTTTCTGATCTGGGTTGCAGTATGACCTACACATATTGCACTGTACCCTCTCTGACCTATGAAGTGCTCTGGTCAAAAAAGTTTAACTGAAATTTAGTCAAGGCTTTAGATCTAATTTCCTGTTTGCAGGAGATGCTGGGGATAGAGTAACAAGTTAAAAGACACCACTTAAGAAACAATCAGACAGAACCAGAATGCAGAATATTATAGAAGGTAACTGGCCTCATTGCTTCAAAATATCAGTGTTGCCAAAAAAAAAAAAAGAAAAGGACGTGGAATGGGTAACTCTTCTAAATTAAGTTACTTAAGACACATCATAACCGAATGTAATGTGGAATCTTTGACTGGACCTTGGTGAAAAGCCATCTACAAAGAAAACAGGGGCTAAGGGGGCTGAGAAAATTTGAATATGGACTAGACTTTTAATGATATTAGATCATTATTACTAATTTTATGAGCTGTGAGAAGGATGTAGTTTATAAAATAATATCTTAATTTGCATACTAAATTATTTAGGAATGAGGTGCTATAATGTCCCTTAAAATGTTTTAAAATGGTTTTGCAAAATGTGCATGAAGTATATATGACAAAATTTTAATGAATCTAACTGGTGTGTATATGGGTGTTCACTGTGCTATGTTTTCCTATTTTCTATATGTTTAAAAGCATACATTTTTAAAAAATAAAAAGGCAAAACTCAAACAAAAATAAACAGTTTTCTTCTTATATGAGAATTGCTACAAATTTGATTATGAAAAAGAAACTTTAAAAATGTATACTTGGTGTGGGTTTTCTGAATTGGGACAGACTAAAGCTTTCAGCGCCAACAGTTGTCTTCCTCAGAGAAAGTGTGACTAGTGCATTCTAGTTTATTTTTATCCAGATCGAGTTGCATTTGATATGACTTTTTCTTATGTACAGTGCTTTAGAAGACTTCATCTTTTTTCATCGATAACTTATCAGACAACCTAACAGGGAACTACATCTACTTTCCAGGCAGCCATCAACACACAGAAAGCCCGAGGAGAATTACTCAGGGACCAAAACATTCCGTGTCACCAGCGCATAACCTTGTCTTTCGTGCACTCTCAACCCAGCCTCAGGAATACTGGCCACAAGGGAAAATCAGCCAAATGCTGGAACCGAGAATGGATTTATGGTTTAGTTTGCTCTAAGTAAGCAAAGCACAGCTTCGAGTTCTTTGCCTCCACTACAAAGTGTTTCCTACACTCCCAGGTAAGAATGACCTGAAGCAAGTGTTAAGCCTGCAGTTTTCCAGGCACAGCCCCCAGAGTCTAGGTCAGAAAGCCTGGAATGAACACAGCCCTCAGGAATCTATATTTGTGACAAGGAAAGCAGTATCCTGATAACTAAAAGGGCCACAAAATTGTTGCTAGGATGGCAGCCTCCAAACATAGCTGCACGCTAGAATCACCAGAGGAATGTTCATAATTTAGGAAGCCTAGGGCTTACTGAATAAGGATCCTGGCATTGGGAACCAGGACTTTATTTTTACACTCCCACCTTGACTTCATATTAGAATAATCTGGGGAGCATTTGAAAATACTAGTATCCAAGGCCTCATGCAAAGCAATGACTCAGAACCTCTCGAAGAGGAGTAGTTTGTAAAAGTTCCTTAGGTGATGAAACCAGACCAAAGCTCAGCATATGAGAAACACTGAATTAAGTGGTTTAAGATGAAGTGAAGCTGGAGTCATCAGCTTTTAATCCTTATTCACCCAACCAGAGTAGCACAAAGCAACTATACATTGACTTTGTTGCACACATGGCTGGGCTGGTGCTTCAGGCTGCTCCCTGTGCATAGCTTTAAGTTGAACCATTGATTCAGGTCTCTCTAAAAAGCCTGTGAAATTCAGATCAAATTAAAAAGTGTCCCATCTGTAATGGGATTAAGGAATCTGGGACCCCAGAAAGGCTGTTCAGTCTGTCTGCCAGTTAAGGATTTCCATATAGCTTCAAAGAAGTTCTAACCACATGATGACATTATTGTTCAGGAGTGAAGAGATTCTACCACCAGCAGGATGAAAAGGAAATACTCCAGATACAGCAGCTACATTTCCACAAGGTCCTCAGGATAGTGGTCCTCACATGGTAGGCACTCAGTAAATATCTCACGAATGGCTCCCATTATTATGGCTAAAACCTGAGTCTTTTAAGATGTCTCACTGTGGATTTGTCTCCAACTTCTGAAGAAATAGCCACCAGAGTCATCATCATGAATTATGATACAATGAACAACTAGAACTACTAGCAAGTTGCTTTAATTTTAATGTGGGTCAAATAAGTTTTGTTTAGATATTTAAACAGTCTTTACTTAAACATTCCAAAGGATGGGGATTTCAAAACTGGCACCTCCCCATCTGTGGGGAATAATAATTGTTCCCCAAAATGACCATATTCTAGTCCCTAGAACCTGTAAATATGTTACAGTACCTGGCAAATGAGCAAAGTTGAGCGAAATGTTCCTAGATTATCTGGGTGGTCCCAAGGTAATTCAAGTTTCATTAGAAGAAGAAAGAAAGGCTGTGTGCATGGTAGCTCATGCCTGCAATCCCAACACTTTGGAAGGCCAAGGTAGGAGAATGGCTTGAGGCCAGAAGTTCAAGACCAGCTTGAGCAACATGGCAAGACCCTATAACTACAAAAATAAATTAGCAGGGTATGCTGATGCATGCTTACAGTCCCAGCTGCTAGGAAGGCTGAGATGGGAGGATTGCTTGAGCCCGGGAGGTCGACATTGCAGTGGGCCATGATCATGCCACTGCACTCCAGCCTAGGTGACAGGGCAAGACCCTGCCTCAGGAAAAAAAAAAAAAAAAAAGAAACATAATGGAAGACAGACACAGTTCAGGGTCAGAGAGAAAATGGAAGAAACTATGCTTCTAGCTTCGAAGTTAGAGGAAGGGGCTGCGAGCCAAGGAATGCAGGTAGCCTCTAGAAGATGAAACATGTAGAGAAATGGATTCCCCTCTCCACAACCCCGGAAAAGCTACTGGAATAAATGCAGCCTTGTTGACAGTTTGATTTTAGCCCAGTGAAACTCGCTTAACACTTGTGACCCCTGAAGTTGTAAGATAATAAATTTTTGTTATTTTAAGCCACAAACTTTGTGGCAATTTGTTACAACAACAATAGGATACTAACACATCACACAATATTTAAGAGAAAAATAATTCGAAGAATAGTGACTAAATTAGCATTTCAACACAGCAAAGGGCTACATTTGCATCCTCTATAAGATGACGTGGCTAGCCACATCCCTTCAAAACTGTGGTGTGACTTTTAAGAGTATAATGCTGAAATAAAGGTTACTGAGGTGCTTGCTAAAAATCAAATCACAGACTATAAAATAACAATGACCATTTCTATGTGGTATATGTGCCTTAAGAAAAAGTGACATCATTCTAAGGTCTTATACATGGTAAATAAATGAGTAGAGCATCTGGCTAACCAAGATCACAGCTTGGGCTTACTCTAGGTGAATGCCCAACACTCTCAAGAGAATGGCTTCCCACGCAAATACCACTCGCCGAAGTGGTAAGCCACTGCTGTGTAAAGACAACAGTGATGCTCATACTGTATACCCACCCTTCTCCAGAAGGCACTATGCAACCATGTTTGAAAGGGTATGCTCTCATGCTGTCCTTCCTGTGACCAAGGACACCATTCATGACGTGTTTGTGTAGGCTCAGGAAATGTGTAGTCATGCAAGGGGGCAAACCCGTGGGTTCACAAGAGGCTTGAACCTGGGACCTCAGCTTCACCTGTGTTCCCTCTAGCAGTTGAGCTCATCAAGTGGAAATGTGCTCAACTCTATCTGTTCTATGTGGCCTGGCTCTGAGGCAAGGGAACTCACTCCCTTTCATTCCCATGGGCTGAAAACAGCTTTGAAGGAGCAGCAGTTGGTTACATACCTGATGACTGCCCTGCAAGAATGTGCACCTGAGGAAGGGCAATGACCATGGCTGTCTGTGTAGTGGGCACATCACAAAAGGCTGAAGACACCTGGGGTCGAATGGCAAACAGCACCAGTGTAATCCTATGTCTTGGCAAAATTCCCCACCAACTAAAGAGAACAGAGAATTCACTGAGAGAATCATCTCATCAGACTCCAACAGCATCATAACTCGCATTTATTAAGCACTTTACTGTGGACCAGGCACAGTGTGCTAAGTGTGTTACAAACATCTAACTTTTACAGTCACCTTAAAACAGAGGTCCATGGTTCATCTCATCTCACAAATGGGAAAAACAAAGTACAGAAAAGTATGTTGTTTTAGGGTTATATGGCTAGGAGTGGCAGACCTGGCATTCAAAACCAAATCTTTCTGCCTCTAATGTTATACAACCTTTAATATAGTAGGCGAATAAGACATAATTTTAAGGAAAGAGGCAGCAGAGAATTGGCATCAAGGTAGCAATCCACTTGCAAGCCAAGGAAGGTATTTATTTACAGCCATTTATTTCAATGGTTCATCATTTTTTGAGCATTTGGTCTATCTGTACTAGAAATTGTGCCCATACAACTTGGAATCATCAAAATATCAAAGGATACCAGGTAGCAGGACTTGGAGGCAGAATGAAAACCTACCAAATTCCAGAACATGATCTAACAGGGAGAGGACCTGCCAGCTGAGCAATTCTACCAGGATATGGCAGTGGAAGCCAGAGTGACTCAGGGCAGGGTGGGGGATGACAATGAAGAGGCAGCATCTCAAACAAAGGTGTCAGGTGTGAGGAAAACAAACACAACCTCAACATGCAGCAGGCTCAGGAAGTGGGGTCAGAGACCTCAAATATGGAACGCACCCTTCTTGCATGCAGGACTGATGTTCAATACAGCCTATTCACCTACTCAATTGATAGGCTAACACAAGGGCAGGGTGAGGAAGGAAGGGGTGGCTTGGAGACCACATCAATTGCAAAGCCTCTTCAGCAACACTGACAATGCCCTTTCAGTCCTGGATCCTGTGGGTGAGGGAGATACTCAGTTGCTACCACACAACAGCAGCTGTCAAGCTTCAGAACACAACATCCCCAAACATGGCACCCTTGGAATACTAAGTATTTAAAACTG